GATGATGCTCTAAGCGATCATGGCTTTGTGATTTGTCCACTGCACAATCACAGTAAACTTGCGTGGATATCGCCCTACTCAGGATAAACTCAAAAAGCTCTAGAACAGTGCAGACCTAAACAATGCAGGGATTGCTGCCTCTTTTTAAAATTAAGAGGTAGAAAACTGCACAATATTGAACTTTTTTCCACTCAAGTAGTGGGCAGGTCTAGTTTGCATTCCTGTTGATTTCAAACATGTAATATAAAGACGTAAAAAAATAAAAAGTGCAGAGTCTACAAGTTCTTTGTAATCATCAGCTTGTGCACAATTATTTTAGTTTTTTTTTTTAAGCTATTGTTTGAATTATCCCATCTCCACTAATACTCTTTGGGGTTTTAAAATATAAATTATTAGTTTGTATCATTTTTGTATCTACATTTTTTCATGAATTTATCTTGCCTTTTAAAATTCTGTAAAATATTCTTAAATGGAAAAAAATGAGGTTCACTTAGATTGAAAACTTTTCCCAGGTGGAGTGATAATCACATTCATCATCTTGTTTTATGAGAAGGTGCCTCGACAATTCCGTTGATTTTGTTTAAATGGATTTTTGTCTTCTGTGATAAATTTTGTTGTGTAACAGTAAATAGAAAAACAAAAGCTTGTTACCCATGCTAACTTCATGTGTCAACTTCTATATTTACATGTATTATCTCATTACTAAAATGTTTGGCAATTTTATAATTTGTAGTTAGTAAACTTTGTATGTCATTTCCTTCTTAAAGGTATCACACTGAGCTGACAGGAGATTTAGGTTTTAAGTCGTTTGCATGTGAATATCAAATCACACTTTGGTATTCTCTGAATAATAGTAAAAATACCCTACCAAAACAATGCCCAAACTCATGGCCACATATCCTTTATACAAAATGTTTAACAACTGCAAAAATGAAGAAGAACCATAGGTATATCTTTATCTTTATAGGGAATCTTTCCTGTTAATCACAAGAATTTAGGACTTTCTTGCTGTGCTCTATTTACTTCGACACCCAAGCAGTTCCTAAAACAGTGTTTAAATATATTGCATGGTAAAAATTCAAATTATCCATGTTGATACCATCACTCACTGAGGCTCTTACCCTGACAGCAAAGATATATACACCCCAGCCTCCCTACTATCTCACGTCATTGTTTACTTTCTTTCAAAGTCTTTATTTCCATCTTATAAACCAACATTTACCATTTGTAATTATCTCTTTTCCCATATAAGCACCAGGACTGCAAGAACTTGTTTCCTGCCTCTATATCCAAATCCGCCAGCGCTTTGATAATTTGTGCTGCATCACATGTGTCGACTCGAAAGTGCATGGCAACGAGAGATGTTGAAACATTAACATCCATAGTCTCTGAGCAGAAAAGCCTTGATTGGAATAGTGGTCCTTTTTCTCCCGGACTAGGTTTCTTCTGCTCTCTCAAATTTACCTAAACATATAAACCTCAGTTGAGTCAAAGAGGAAATGTTTAAAATATCATGTAGTATACTCGGAAGCAGATTTATATATTTTAACCAAAGTACTTTATGGTAAACTGTGTTGCCATGGGAAATGCAAAAGCTATTGCAAAGGACCAAGTGCTGGTGGCTTCGCCTTTACTGCAAAGTCGACTCTTTTCTTCTTGAAGAGAAAAATGTCACAGATCGCCTTCATTTAAAATAACCAGTGACCATGATGAACTAAGACATTTATAAGTGTATTTTGTAACCACATACCTAACAATGTTAATAAATAAAGTTCTAAATCACAAAAATGACCAATATCCCACCCTCTCTTACTAACAGGACTAACTGGGGTGTCTTACTAGTTTAGTTACACTACATTGTTTTTGCCTTGTAGAAAACGATTATGATCACCAATGATAATAAGGTCTACGATCCCTGGGCATTAAATACACAATAATGTCTTTTTTTCTTGAATAGCAATCGAACCCTCAAACACAAGCCAAAAATCATATAAGTCGTCATTTGCAGCACCACGTTACTCTAATACTCAGAGTTTGTGGTCATTCTTATTAGAATCATTATATTCCTCTTTTTGACTACAGGTGTGATCCCATGCGTGACTGGCAAGAGGGTACTGATAAAAATCATGATTTGAGCTTTAGGTATTAAGAAAGAATAAAAAATAAATTTCATGACAAAAGTTGTAACTATAAAAGAATACAAATAAAATTTGCCTGCATAAAACACCTGAATTTGTATGCACATATTACTGACACATCCATATGTTATATATATGTGTGTACATATACATGTGTGTGTATATATATATGTATATACGTGTGTATATATAAGATTGAATCAAGAAAATTGCAAAGTTTATTTGGAAATCCAGTTATAATGGGACATTTTCACACAACCTCTCAACATGTGAAAAACATATTAGTTAACATTTGATGACTTAAAAAACAGTTTAAAGTATTTCTAAGAAATAACTGGAGAAGTGTTCCTTTGATAGAAAAGAGCACGTACATTTAATCACATACTAGCAATCACAGGGATCACAGTGAGCTAAAAGTAACAGGAAACAGTCTTCTTCACAGGAGGAAGGTGCTTATTCTCACATAGAAGGACCAGATGAAGGCAGCCAGTGTCCAGTGTAGCAAAGAAACAACCTCCCATGTCGTTCTTTTCACATGAATCATTGTAGATGTCATGAGAAAAACATAGGAATACTTTTAACAGCATAAGGTGTTTCCTGTACAAATTAGGTCTTATATGTATGTAATCCAGAGAAGACGGGATTCAGACAATAATCGCAAAAAAGGAAACTGAGTTAGATTCATGGTGGACTACTCAAGAGGTCTTACAGAAAAATCCAGACTTTGATGGATCTTTGATGTGGATCTTGTGAAGACATCAGCGAAAACACACATTTCTAAGAAAATGGAATTAAAAACTTGAGGACACTTTTGATGGGAAAGGCAAAGAATATAAAAATTAGCTAAAAGATTTCTTCGAGCCTCCTATATATCTGCCTTTCTCCTGATATGGTGGCTTCAAAGTATGATTAATGCTTTCTTAACTTCTGTCTTCCAAATGTATGCAAGGCTCTTGGTGAATTTTATTTTATTTCATTTTTTTTTTTGAGGGCAGGACTTGACTCATCTTTCATTTCATTTTATTTCTTAAATTAAGTTTATTGAGGAAACATTGGTTAATACAATTATATAATTTTCAGGTGTACATTATAACTTAACCTCTGTTTTTGTTTACCTCTATTGTGTTTACCACCCAAAGTCCAGTTTCCTTCAGCTACCATATATTTGACCCCCTTTACCCACTTCACCCTCACCCAACCCCCTATATTTGACCCCTTTACCTCACCTATCTCCCTCCTCCTCCCCCACCCCCTACCCTCTGATAACCACCATTCTATAGTCTGTGTCCATGAGTCTGTTTCTTTGTCCTGCTCCTTTGTTGCTTTTAGGTTTATATCCCACATTTAAGTCACATCATGTGATTTTCAACTTTTCCTGTCTGGCTTATTTTGCTTAGCATGATTATCTTGAGTTCCATCCATGTTGTCACAAATGGCTGTATTTCATCTCTTCTTATGGCTGAGTAATATTCCATTGTATATATGTACCACTGCTTCTTTAGCCAATCATCTGTCGTAGGACACTTCGGTTGCTTCCATGTCCTGGCCACTGTGAATAATGCTGCTATGAACATTGGTGTGCAAATATCTTTTCGGATATGGGTTTTCCAGTTTTTGAAGTAAATACCCAATAGAGGGATTTCCGGATATGGTAGATCAATTGTTAGTTGTTTGAGGAACCTCCATACTGTTTTCCATACTGGCTGTACCAATTTGCAGTCCCACCAGCACTGTATGAGGGTTCCTTTTTCTCTGCATCCTCTCCAGCATTAGTTATTACTTGTTCTGTTGATTATAGCTATTCTAATAGGTGTGAGATGGAATCTCATTGTGGTTTTGATTTGCATTTCTCTAACAGCTAGCGATGTTGAGCATCTTTTCATATGTTTATTGGCCATTTGTATGTCCTCTGGGGAGAAGTGTCTGTTCAGATCCTCTGTCCATTTTATGATTAGATCGTTTGGTTTTTTTTTGTTGTTATTGAGTTGTGAGTTCTTTGTATATTTTGGATACTAGGCCCTTATCGGAGGTGCTGCTTGCAAATATATTTTCCCATTCGGATGGTTGTCTCTTTACCTTGTTGACGATACTTTATTCCTGTGAAAAGTTTTCTGGAACTTTATATGTTGCTTAATTTCCATCAAGTTTTCTCATGATACTTACATTTTATTTGGTAAGTTTTCTCTTGTAAGGATGTGAATCAACTGAAGTCTTTCCCACACTGTTTACATTCGGGTTTTATCCAGTGACTACTTTCATAACTTCAGAAAAAATTGAGATGATTAAAGCTTTCCCCACATTGTGAACATTCAAATGGTGTGTCTACAGTGTGCACTCTCCTCTCTTCAAATGGTTGTGACAAATAATGGCTTTACCAATGTTGACATTCATCTGGTTCTCTCCAGTGTTGAGTTCTCTCAGACCAAGATAACTGGAATAACCATGCATTACTGCATTTTTTACACTCAACAGTTTTTCTCCACTGAGATTTCTTTCATGTATTTGGAAACATAGATGAGAACTGAAAGCTTTACCACATTGCTCAATTCACAGGATCTATCCTGTCTTTATGTGTGTTAGCAAAAAACTTAAAATCCGTAGGCTTTACGTTCATAGTGTTTCTGTCCAGTATGAGTTCCTTAGAGTGTTTCTAAGGAAATATAATCCTTGCAGGCTTTACCACCATTTTTACATTCACAGAACATCTCTGCAGTATGATTTAGCATGTTTTGAAGATAGCTAAGACATCTGAAAGTTTGACTCCATTTTTCACATTCTTAGGGTTTCTCTCTAGTGTTATTTATTTTTAAATTTTGCAAAGAGAACTGTGATAACGAAATGCTTTAGTACACTGCTTACATTCATAGGGTTTTCTTCAGTGTGAGTTTTCTCATGTGTTTTTAAGGAATGTGACTCTCTGAAAGCTTTATCACACTGTTTACATTCATAGGGTTTCCCTATGTGTGTATTCTTTCATGTGTTTGAAGATAACTGACATAACTGAATGCTTTACTACATTGGTTACATTTATAGGGTTTCTCTCCAGTGTGAGTTCTCTCATGTGTTTTTAAGAAACGGGACTCTCTGAAGGCTTTACCACACTGTTTACATTCATAGGGTTTCCCTCTAGTGTGTATTCTTTCATGTGTTTGAAGATAACTGACACAACTGAATGCTTTACTACATTGGTTACATTTATAGGGTTTCTCTCCAGTGTGAGTTCTTTCGTGTATTTGTAATTTACAGTAATCTACGTAGGATTTTCCACATTCTTTACATTTAGAGAGTTTCTGTTCAGTGTGCACTCTTTTATGTTTACTAAGAGAACTGAGAAAACTGAATGTTTTAGTACACTGCTTACATTTGTAGGGTTTCTCTCCAGTGTGAGTTCTCTCGTGTGTTTTTAAGGAATGTGACTCTCTGAAGGCTTTACCACATTCTTTGCATGCATAGGGTTTCAATACTGTATGCACTCTTTTATGTTTGCGAAGAGAACTGGGACAAATGAATGCTTTACTACATTGCTTACATTTATAGGGTTTCTCTCCAGTGTGAGTTCTCTCATGTGTCTTTAAGCAACGGGACTCTCTGAAGGCTTTACCACACTGTTTACATTCATAGGGTTTCCCTCCAGTGTGTATTCTTTCATGTCTTTGAAGATAACGAAGACAACTAAATGCTTTAGTACATTGCTTACATTTATAGGGTTTCTCTTCATTATGGATTCTTTTGTGTTTTTGTAGGTTAGAGTGATCTCTGTAGAATTTACCACATTGTTTACATTCATACGGTTTCTCTTCGTTGTGAGTTCTCTCGTGTGTTTGTAATTTACAGTAATCTCTGTAGGCTTTTCCACATTCCTTACATTTATAGAGTTTCTCTCCTGTGTGAGTTCTTTTATGTGTTTGAAGACGACTGAGACAACTGAATGTTTTAGTACATTGCTTACATTCATAGGGTTTCTCTCCAGTGTGAGTTTTCTCATGTGTTTTTAAGAAATAGGACTCTCTGAAGGCTCTACCACACAGTTTACATTCATAGGGTTTCCCTCCAGTGTGTATTCTTTCATGACTTCGAAGGTTACTGAGATACCTGAATGTTTTACTACATTGCTTACATTCATAGGGTTTCTCTTCAGTATGGATTCTTTTGTGTGTTTGTAAGTAAGAGTGATCTCTGTAGAATTTACCACATTGTTTACATTCATAGGGTTTCTCTCCAGTGTGAGTTCTTTCATGTCTTCGAAGACTACTGAGACAACTGAACGCTTTAGTACACTGTTTACATTCATAGGGTTTCTCTCCAGTGTGAATTCTTTCATGTCTTCGAAGATGACTGCGACGACTGAATACTTTAGTACACTGCTTACATTCATTGGGTTTCTCTCTTCCATTGTGATTTCTTTCATATTTTTCAAAAATTTGGAGATAACTGAAGGCTCTCATACTCGCCTTACATTTACGTGGCTTCTCTCCATGTTTCTGATACTCATTGGGATCGTGTCCAGTGTGACATCTGATGTGCCTATTAGAAGACGAATGCTGTATGAAGACTTCTCTACACACACTGTGTTCCCATGGTTTTACTCTAGGAAAAATTCTCTTGTTCAGACTGAGATTTGAAATAAGGCTGAGGTTTTCCTCACACTCACTACTCGCTTCACTTTCACAGATTCTCTCTTCTATATGACTTCTGAAAAAATCAAGATGAACATTGTTCATGATTTCTCATTAATATTTTAGCATTTTGTAGCATATCTGAACTACATTTTTATGATTTATAGCAAAAGTGTAGGTTTGCTGCTGCCTAAATTGGCTGAATTAAAGATATGAAATTCTCCACAAAAGAACTTCACCCTTACAATTATCAAAACAGTGATATTCACATATAGGGTTTATTAATATCATTTCCTAGTAAACTATTTTGCAAACACAAACCATCTATATCACATATGAGAGTAATTTGATAAAAAAAATTTGAGAAATCATAAATTTGAAGAAAGGGTTCTTTTGTTTGCTTCTTTTTAAAATTCCGTAACACCAGGATGCGCACAGATAACACTGCCTTAATATTGTGAGTATGACTCACCTTAGTTTTCTCCCCTGGTTTTTGTACTGATCTTCAGTGTCATAATCTTCCATTCCTTTTCCTAAAAGTAGACCACAAAAAATAATTCCAAAGTATTAAAAATTATAGAAAAAGTATTAGATTTTAGTTCTGTGGTGAGCTGTGACCATTCCCAGTTTATTTATCAATGCCCTGCATTTCCACATTCCATGTCTTAGAACAATGCTGATAAGCAACTAACACCTCACCTCTAATTAGCAAGGTGAAGATGAAGTCACGCATACCTACTGAGGCCAGGTTCTCGAAGGTTTCCCGCATCACATCTCTGTAGAGTTTCTTCTGCGAAGGGTCCAGTAAAGCCCACTCCTCCGGAGTGAAGTTCACAGCCACATCCTCAAAGGCCACTGAGTCCTATAACATCCCAAATATGTGTACAGTAAAAGTTGTAAGACTTATAGCACTTGACACCTATACTCCATGTACAGAAAAGATACCTATGATTCCATCATCACCAAACATTTCTTTTATAACTTGATCATCAAAAGCTTGCGCTCGGTCCACACTTACTTCCTCATTATTTTAACAGCATCACAAATTATAATACATTTTTACTGTGATCACATTACATCTTATTTTTCCGTAACGGCAGGGTCCACAGCATGCCAGGAAATGACAGAAATGCTATAAATATGAAAAAAAAAAATTTTATTTTAAGACAATCATTTTCTTAGGAGAAAAATTCTTTCTTCTCCTTCCTTATTCCTCATCATTTACAGCACTCCATGAAGCATTGAGTCACTTCTGCACATGATTTAAAAAAACAAACATAGTGACAAACTGGAAGTTTTTTCTTCTA